GGTGTGCATGCTGGTTGAAAGTTCTCCATCATTAAATATGACTGTCTGACACACAGAAATACCGGCAAATCCATTGGCACCTGCCCACCAAAGACAGAACACTGAACTCCAAGTGCAGGTAGATTGTAAACAGCCTTATTAATGTTTTAGTATTTACTGATTTCCTTTGGTGTAGCTATCTTTCTGTATAATTTTGTAAAATTTTATAGTAACAAGTGCAAACAAAATGACCAAAAGCTGCTTTCTGTTAAAATGTATTTATTTGCAAGGGACAAATGATGCCTGCAGAGTTATGTAGTGGCAGATAGGTCTTCAGGCTCATAAGTGATTGTCTTTTCAAAACAGGAATAAACTATCTAAACTGCTGAGACTAAGCCGAAATATACTTACAAAGCAAAAGCATACTCTGTACTTGTATTAGTCCTGCCTCAGTATTTTCCATCTTCTTGGAAGAAAAACACTGTAATGCATATGTTTCTATAATATAGTTGAAAGTAGTTCTAACATTCTAAAGCATTTCTAAAAGGCATTTTGTCATCAAAACCAAAGCAACAAATTGAAATGTATGCCTCCTGAAATTAATGCTTCCTGTGTAATGATGTTAGCTCATGATGGCAGAGGCAGATGTTGGCAGTATGGCAGTAAAGGTTGAACCTTCCCAGCAATATTCCATTCCATGCCATTGCAATGTGGCAGATGGCAGCAGAGAGGCAGTCTGACAGAATGGTGTCTGGCATGGAAGTGTGTATGGAGCAAAGGGGCTGAATTCCTTCACACAGAAAAAACTGTACCCACTGATCTTCACTTACCTCTCTGAATGTTCACGGAGACTGAACGGTGGATGTTGGCACCATGAGGCAGAGAGTGGTGTGTTACAGCTGATGGTGGCAATTTTGGAATATCACCAAATTCACACCAGATGGGTCCCAGAAACACATATGCAGGGAGTTCGAGAAGAACATTGCATGCAAGTTTGCCAGAACCTACTGAATAATATGAAGCTGAAGGTGACAGTTTCCTGGACTGCACTATTACCAGTGAGACAGTATGAGCTTGAGCCAAAGCAGCAGTCCAGGGAGTGGCAACGTGTGAATTCTCCACCAAAGGAAAAGTCCAAGATGCAGCCCTCAGCAGGTTAAGTGATGTGCACTCTCTTTTGGGATATGAAAGGGGCAATCCTTCTAGATTTCCTGGAGCCCACATAAACCATCAGCTCTGACTGCTGCTTAACTAACTGACTAAGATGAAGGCTCAAACTCCTAGAGTCAGGCCAGTGAAGAAGACAACTTTTCCCTTGCAACGTGATACCGCCAGGCCCCATACCACTTTGCAGAGCTTGGAGCACGCTGTCTATCCTGGCTGCACTGTCCTATCACACCCTGTGTAATCCAGATTTGACAGCTTCTGATTTCCACCTGTTTGAGCGGATGGAAAATGGACTGCGTGGTCAATATTTTCCTACCAAAAATGTGAAACAGCTGGTGCAGATTTTCACAAATGCAACATGCAGGCTTTTGTTCATGGCTGGTGAAAATGCATAGCTAATGGTGGCGACTATATTGAAAACTAGTGTTTTGTAGCTGAGAATTTGCTCTGTCAAACAGTGCTATTCTGCTTCTTTGTATCTGTTGTAGTTTGCATGGAAATAAAAAAGAGGCATTACTTTTATTTAGCTTGACATACACATGCCTAGTGTGAGACAGCAGGAATAGAATCACTACTTTCAATTATTGCTTCACGTGGAAATAGTTCTTAACAAGTTTTTCTTACAAGGTATCTCCAGGCTGTGGAGGTTTCCCCCCACAGGGAATGGATAAATATTATTATCTGCCAAACCCTGTGATTCTCAGAGGGAAACAATATTGTGGAAAATCTCTCTGTTTTGGCAAACAATTCAAAAGATAAGATAGGGTGATTTACTCCCAGCTTTCACATTGTAACTCAGTAACAATATGGTGCTTCCTCATGACAAACCTTGTCAGCCTTTGCTCTCAAAGCATCCCAGCATCACCATGCACGTGGAAAACACAGCACTATTGATAGCAATAATCACAAAGTCCATGTTGGGAGGTTGCAATTGCATTGTGCTAACCAGATAGCTTGTTCCACTAACTCTTTCTTTATCAGAAAAACCTGCCTCAAGATGCAAGTGGACTGGCAATCCAGGTCAGCACTTGCTTAAGTCAAACAGGAAACAAGCTCCTCTTCAGAACTCATTTTCCTCGTTCTGAATTCAGACACTCCCAAACTTGTCCTGTACTTGTTTTCAGACATAACAGTGTTTAGCAACATTACTCATAAAGTTCCCTACCTTATCTGGCTACTCTAAGTCCATGTAGGCTTCTGTCACAAATGTTCCCGGCTGAGAAGGTTAATGTTAATGTTATTTTTCCATACAGCCAGCAGCTGCTTTCTTTTGTGAAATATCTCAGAACAGATAAAAATGTTTAATTTTTCTAACGGTGGGATGAGTTTTCTTTCCCAGCATTTTTTTTTTTTTTCTTTTCCACGCGCTGTTCTGCAGCATGAGTCTGATTCACAGTGCTGTGTGCTGCTGGACTCCCCAGCCTCACTGTTGGTGTGCTGAGACAGCAGCTTCCACTGTCAGAGCTTCCAGGCTCCCAGCTCTGCCTCTGCTTCTGCGCCCCACACCTCCTGCTGGTGACCCTACTCAGAAGTTCATCCTGCTCAGCTGCTGGCTTTGGAACTATCCCAGGAATATATAGCTAAGTATGGGGGTGGGCAGGAAAGAGTAACAAGAAGTCTGAATTCATCGTTTGTTAGCTGCCATGAAAGCACATTTTGTGTGAGGCTGCAGCTTTTGCAAAAGCAGGTCATAAACTCAGAAGAATGTCACGTGCCTTGTGTTGGTACTTGAAACTGAGTTGAGCCAGAGTGGAAATGCAGCGCTTAAATTCAATGAATTAAACTGCTCGAGCTGCTGAGGAACTAAGCACACCTGCCACTTGAATACCATAGAATCACAGAATGGCTAGGGTTGGAAGGGACCGCAGAGATCACACAGTTCCAACCCCTTCTGCCACGGACTCAGCTGCCACCCACTAGATGAAACTGCCCAGGAGCTCATCTAGCCTGGCCTTGAATGCCTATAGGGATGGGGCATCCACACTTCTCTGGGCAGCTGTGCCAGCACTCGCCACCCTCTGTGTGAAGAATTTTTTCCTAGCATCTAACCTAGTCTTTCACTTTAAATCCATTTCCCTATGTCTTATCGCTATCTGCCTGTGTAAAAAGTCAGTCTCCCTTACAGTTGTAAGCTCCCTTCAAGCACTGGAAGACTGCAGTGAGGTCTCCGTGTGGCCTTCTCTTCTCCAAGCTAAATAATCCAACTTCCTGAATCTTTCATCACAGAAGAAGTGCTTCAGCCCTCAATATGCTGTTTGAAAACTGCTGCTGTTTTGACAGATTCTTTCACAGATTCTTCACAAAGCAAATACGCACTGGATTGAAATTCTCTGGAAGACTCAGCTTCTGAGTACTGCTTCCCCGGTAGCAGCAAGAAATAGAGATTGTTCTTAGTAAAGCCTCACCCTAGAATAAAAGTGAACTTACTGGACATGTAGAGGAATGGCACTTTCCATAAAATGTAATGGACTTTCCATAATGGGATGACAATCTCAAAAAAGGAAATGGAGCAGTTCATCAAGGAGTATTTATGCTGATAAAAAGCTCCCAATCATGCTCTCAAGCAAGTTGATGAATTCACAGACTGCAAACACTGCTTCAAAAAGAAGCTTGGAGTTCCTCAGGCCTTCAGTACAACAGGGGAGGTGTTAATTCAAATCTAAGTATGCACAGCAAATACTCAAGGTAGGTATCCATTGCTTTGGTATTGTGAACACGCCTTTCCACATTAGCCTGCAAAAAACAAAACAAAACAAAACTGATTATCAGGAGGCTGTGAAAACTATTTACCTTTCAATCTTCAATATTGAGGCATTTCTCTTAAGCTAGTTAGTTCCATTGCTTTAGACTCTGACCTAGAATTGTGCTTTTAAATGACTATTTGGTGTCAGATTTGCAGATTGCTGGCCTGTGACTACAGAAGTCACTTATTTGTTAAGTTCTGGTAGAATATGCATGCAGCAAACACTCTGTTCCACACATACACACAAAAAAGCTAAAGTTGGTCTGAGTTTCAATCTTTTCTGCTTTTATTTGGAATGCAGAATGGTAATGTTCTGACAACAGGAACCCCCTAGCTTCAAGCCTGCATTTTAGGCATCTGCAGTTAATCCTACCTTGATTTTCTATCAGCTTAAACTGCTCACCCTGCTGCTCAGAAGGATGTATACAGATAAAAGCTGCAGCTCTGTTCAGCACATAACTAATCCCTGCTACATTTATCCATTTCCTTGTCAATGAAGTGACCGCACATACACTTGTTACCTCAGTTCTTTTAATGCATCTGTTTATTTTATGCCAGGAGCGTTTACAACATTTGCTTTTATGCTTTACCAGATTATTCCTACAAGGCTTGCTTCACTGGACGCCCATGGGAAGCTGTGAAGGCCCAGGAGCATTGCACAGGGACTCTTTCCAAGACACAGGGAGGGTGACCCTGGGCAAACTCATCAGCACTCTTCCTCCTGCCCAATACAATGGTGTTACTTCCCAAGAATCAGCCTAAATAAATTCTCTGCCCATGCACTTAGTGACGAAGTTGTCTTAAAGGTAAATGGATAATGATCCCACCTCCAGCGTGACTGTCACTGGTAGCAAGGACCTGTTTTCTATCCCAGTTCTAAAAGCCCTGCTTCCAGTCACGCTGCAGGTGTAGGGAGGGAGCGACCAAACGAGACCCGAGCCTGCCATGGCCGGACCGCCGCCGCACCGGGAAAAACCGAGCACCAGCAGCGCCCCCTGCCGGCCGCATCGCGCCGCATCCCGATGGAGGACCGTGAGGCGGGCCGTCGTCGTCCCCGCGCCCTGATTGGCTGAGAGACGCTCGCGTTTCTTTCTGCTCGGCGGCGCCGCCTGGCGGGAAAAGGTGGCACCACTTCCCACCGCGCGGGCATGGAGCGGGAGAGCGGCGGCGCCGCCGGCCCGTGCGAGGGGGAGGAGGGCGAGGAGCGCGAGGAGCGCGAGGGCTGCGCGGGGCTGTGGGAGCTGCCGGTGGAGCGCAGCGAGAGGCGGCCGGAATGCGGCCGCTGCAGGTGAGCGGGGAGGCTGGCCGCTGCTCCAGGGTTGGAGCGGAGAGCTGCACGGGGCGTTGCGTTGCGTTGCGTTGCGTTGCGTTGCGTTGCGTTGCGTTGCGTTGCGTTGCGTTGCGTTGCGTTGCGTTGCGTTGCGTTGCCGTGCCGGCTGAGTCCCGGGCGTGTGTGGCTGTGCGCCCTGCTTCCGCCTGCGCCGGCCTGGAGCTGCTGGCATTTGTGATGAGAGCTCCTGCTTACATGGAACCGTGAAATAAAGAAGTCAGCCCACCGTCCTTCGGACACTGAGCCACGAGGAGTAGCGCTGTGCAGTGCTGCTGCCGTGCTTTTTGTCTCCGTGTTTCGTAGTTTCGCTGCGATAGCAGGCAGCGCTGTGCAGTTGGTGTCCTTTTGCAGCGCGGTTTTCGTTCTGGATAAAATGAATGAATTCCACTCTTTGTGGAGTTGGGTATTTGCAGATTGTTAATGTGGGTGGAGAACTTCTGAGGAATGTTGTCAGGAAAAGCTTTGAGACGTGTAACTGAGGGTCCTTCGTGATCTCTGCTTGGCCTCGGTCTGTGGACAAACAAAAATCTTTGCTGCAAACACTGCCAGATGTATGCAGGACTAATTCACTGCATGTTATCCTAATTTTACCCAAAGGTGCTTTGATTAATGATTAATAACAGAATCACAGCATGGCCTGGGTTGCACAGGAGCACAGCGCTCATCCAGTTCCAACCCCTTGCTGTGTGCAGGTCGCCAACCAGCAGCCCAGGCTGCCCAGAGCCACATCCAGCCTGGCCTTGAATGCCTGCAGGGATTGGACATTCCTTAAGCAACGCTATGAGCTGTGAAACAGTGTTTGTATGCCGAGTAAAAATGAGAAGAACCTTAATCCAATGGCCCTCTTCACTTGTATCTAAAATATTATATGTGCTTCATCGGGGTACTGTTTATGTATGCGTTCATTTGTGAAGATTGATAGATGAGTAATGACATTATGGAACAGTCCTCCTTCATACATTAGGAAAAATTTAATGTTCTTACGTAACTATTCCATGTATATTAACAGTCCAAATAATTATGTACATACTGAGTGAGAAGAGGTAATGTGTTCTGTCTTCCATACAAGTAAATGATGCAGCTGCTTTATAGCATGTTGGGAAGATAGTTAAGTGTAAACATGAACTTAATGTCTAATTGCTGATATCAGAGAAAGCAAAATAAGCATGTATTAATTCTTTCAGCAATGCCTCGTGCATGGAAATTGCTTCATTGCTTTCATTTCTTTGATGTTCTTCAGATAGGAGCTCCAGGCATTTATTTTCACTGCTCTGAGTTTACTGCAATTTTTCACTCCCTGAAAGCATTGGTTTCTTATCACTGTTTGAATAAACTACTTAGGTAACTAAACTTGTGTATTTTCCCGTGGTTCATAACTTGTAAGAAGTGCCTGCAGTGTAAAGTGTTTCTGAAGCCATACCATGCATTTCCTGTTAAATTTGTATTGAAAAAGAAACAAATAAAGAAGTACACATGATAGGTGGCATTCCTGAATAGATTTCATTATTCCAGGCTCTTGAGTGGTGTATTGAAGGCATTTGTTGTAAGTAACTATTAAAAACTCCTAAATCAGAGCAGTACACCACAGTTTCCACACCATACATGGTGCTTATAGATACTATGCCCTGCTCCCTTCTCTTTGGGTACTTTGGTTAATGCTGCCTGTGAGGACCAAGGCCTCTGAACATAAGGCTTCACCCCATCCTCCCTGATAGGGAGATCCTGCGATCTGTAATAATACAATAAATATTTTAAATAAAACTATAGTGATTTTATTAAAAGTATTTATCATAGTTACACATTTGCAATTAATAACACTTCTTAAAATTGGGATGAAGGAAAACCCTCTAGAAATAACCTTGTTAAGACATGAAATGGACTTTGTAGATCACAGTCTCAGGGAAAGGTTATATTTTGATGATATTGGGCTTCACATGGCAGTATCTCAAGACTGTTCGCAGCGTTAGCATCTACAGCAGGTTTGCAGATGGCACCAAGATAGGTGCTGCAGTTGATACAGCAGAAGGAAGGAATGCCATCCAGAGGGACTTTGATAAATTGAAAAAGTGGGATAGCCTGTAACTAATCAGGTCCAGCATAGCAAAGTGCAAGGTTTTATCTTGGAGCCGGATACATGTACAGAGTGGGAGAACTTTGTGAGCAAAACCTAGCAGAGAAGGACGTGGAGGTCCTGGTGGATGAAAGACTGAATGTGAGCCAGCAGTGTGTGCCTGCAGCTCGGAAAGCAAATGGTATCCTGGTAAAGAGGGGTGGCCAGCAGGGACAGGGTTAGGGTTAGTCCAAATCTGGGCACACAGTTACCTAAAATGATGAACTGATTCCACCTTTGTAAGCTAGTTTCAGCACAGCTAAGTGTGATGGAGTGGTTACAGAAATTGCAGCCTTGTTAGCTGTATGTTGTATTTCTTAACAAATGAGAAGCATTGGCAAAGTTTTCTCATCTCATTACTGTGAATATAAAATAATTTTTCATTCCTGTAGTTGTTACAGAAATAAACCGTCTCAGACTTGTGTGTAATTTGATACAGAAAAGCAGAAATGTAAGAAAGAGATGTGAATCATAGAATAGAATCATAGAGTGGCATGAATGGAAGTTTCAGTATATTTTTACTCTGAATTTTGTATTTACTGTATCTGTAGAAATTCCTCATGCTATTGTTTCTTTGGCCTGTATTAGCAGTAATGACTGCTGCCAGTGCTGTTGATGAAATAAAAACGTTCCTGACTTTAATGCTACTTCTTTCTGCTTGGCTGAGTTTCAGAGGCACTTGTTCATTTGCTGTAATATTCTAAACAGACTAATGAGTAGTGACCTTTTTAGGCCACTTCCTTTGTGCGTGACCAACTCAGTTAACATCCATTTTGATCTGCTGGCATTTAAAAAAAAAAAACAAAAAAAAACAAGTGTCAGGCTGGCCACGTCCTTTTGACTATGGATGACTAAGGGCTAGGAAGAGCACAACCAGAGACAAGACCTGCAGCAGAGAATAATCTTGTTAATTAAAGCAACTCCAGTGCCTTTGATTTCCCGATTTCTCTGTAATTACATCAACTGTGACTTTGCCTTCAGGGTGGTGGTTTATTGAAAGAGAAGTCAAAGATGTTTTAACAGTGATCAAACTTCTTCAATTTAATCATCAGGAATCTAAAACCATAAGTGGTTCCTTTACAAGAATTGTTATTGATTTTAGTAAATATAACACAAAGCAGAAATAACCTTTTATGTATATATATAGATATATATTTTTCCTTTTTATATGGTAATGCCTATGTAAGTAGATGAGAGCTGAAGGCTGTTATCTGTGTACTCGAAGACTTGGTTTAGGCACAGCCACGTCTGTAACTTTACTTGATTGTTATGGAGGAGAATTTGCCATAGGTGAATTTCACTGGAGATATGAAACATCTCTTGAAATAGAAAAGGTATTTACTTTTGCAGAAAGCAAGCTCTGGCAAATCCCAGAGCTGCTTATAGCATTCGATTGCTGCTGACGTTTGTCCTTTTGGTCCTTTGACTGGTGTCAATTGAGATTCTTCTTCTGTTCCACCGTCTTCTCCCTTCCCTCCCTGGACTAATCAACTTTCATTTCTGCAAAACAGCTCTCCTCTCACTTCAGATGCGTAGCTTAAACCTTACTTTGTTCTTGAGTTTCTTAAACCTTACTTTATTCTTGAGTTGATAGGCCTACAATCTCTTTTTTCTTTTTTTTTTTCTAAATTTTTATTTTCCTCTCTCTTTCCTAAGAATGAATTATCAGGATAATCTCACTCGTTCCATCTGTAAGTTTTTTTTTTTTTTGCCTACCTTTCACTTCTGCACTTCTTCAGTTTAAGGAAGGTGATGTTGCTCTCTTTTCTCCTTTCAGTGACTGTAATTCTATGTTTAATTCCATCATTTGTCCTCTCCTTGCAGTGCACTGGTTTGTCACTTCCTAATTTTTAAAGTCAAATAATGTCTGCATTATATTCAGTTTTCCCTTGCCCATTTTATAGCTTTAGCTTGGATCATACGTTTGCATGACTCTGCTCACATGTTTTTTGTCATATTCTGTGATGTTTTTTGCTTGGAACAAATCATCCTTCCTGGATGTCAGCCTGGTACTTGGCTGTGTTGTTACTGCAAGTATAACTTACCTTTGGCTTTGACTTCTTTTTCCTCTGTCTTTCTTTATATCATTTGTGAAATATACCAATTATGTCCATAATTTCTGTCAAGTTTCTTTTTAAGTTATTTTACCCAGTTTCTAAAGCTATTAACTGTCACAACTGTCTGTAACAGGTTTTGATTCACTTGTCTTCTCGTGAGCATCCAGAAATAGATGAAGTCCTGTGTTTTGTGGCTTTTCTGAGTCATCAGTAGTAGACTGTACATGATTTATACTCTAAAGTTGAATGTTATAGGAGGAAAATGAGATATTTATTTCAGATGGTAGCCTTTCTAGCAGTGCTTTGAATGGATGCTAAAATGGCAGCTACTAAGGCTGGATTCTTTTCCTGACCTAGTAAATTTTTTATCAAAGATTTTTCAGAAGAAATGTCAGAACTTCGAAGTTTTATTTAGGTATAAAAGTTTTTAAGCCTTTAGTAGTGGGGCACTACTGAAGGAGTGGTAGAAGACTGATGCTATGATGATGCCCACTGTTACAGTGGTTACCAGCTTGACATAATATTTATGGACATTAAGGTTTAAAATACTGTAAAGCTTAACATTGAACTATATTTGTCAATGAATGCTTTGTACGCAAGCTTTTTTTCTTCTTTTTTATTTTTTCAGACCTGGGAAAACTTACTGCCTTCTTAGTTGCTTTGAAATAAAGTCGGTAAACATGCTGATGTAAAAAATTTCATTGAAGAAAGAAATATTAGAATAGAAAAACTGATATGGTGAACATTTATATTGAAAAGTAGTTAGGCTCAGTATAACTGCAGCCAAGGAG